CCTTTACTTTGCCCATTTTCAATGAGTACATGGCATAAGGTTATACAAAATATTTTATTATTTTTTTCGCATTATATCAAAATTCTTTTTATCGGCGCCTAAGCCCTGTTGTATATTAGCCAATGTATGTATGTGTACAATTTTTTGTGCTGGTGTGGTATAAAAGCGCATGTGAGGTTATGTCATCATACCTTTATCGTGATATTCAGTCATGCAACAACAAGTAAACAACGCGAGCACAAACAGAAATAGAAACAGCAGCGGCAGCAGCAGCAGCAGCAGCAGCAGCAGCAGCAGCAACAACAACAACACAACAACAACAATCGCAGCAGCAGCAGTAAAAAAAAGTGTTAGTTGTAGTACTTAAATTATAGAACGTTGTAAATTTCACGCTATTTACTGACAGTTGACAAATGGCCAGCAAATGCAACAACAACAACAATAAAAAAAAAGTTGTGAGTAATGCACAACTGGATTGGAAAATGGTTCCAATTGCAGCCGCCAGAGGGCGACAGGTCACTGTTTGGCGATGAGCTCGAGAAGCTGCTTGCTTGGTGTCAGACTAGAGCTGAGCGCGTTTCGTGCTTTTTCGTGACACGCAAGACTTAGCACGAAAAGGAAACTAACCTTTTTCGAATGTTAAACGTTGCATTGTCAAAAAATAAAGATAAAATTGAAATATCAATTGAAGAGCACTTTAAAATCCCAAAAGAAAATAAAAATATTATTTGGGAGTTTGGCCAAATACTCCTCATTTTAAATGATTGTAACGTTCCATTAGCTCGGCTACAAGCGCAAAAGTCTTTCCCACCGCCGCATTGATAACCATTAATTAAACAATTATTTTAATAAAATAACGTCGCAGTATCTTAATGAGCGCATAGCGCGACAATCGCATGCCATTTTAATTAATATATGAAAAAAATGTGAAAATATATTTAACCGCAATATGCAATTATTGGTTACGCATTACCTATTAATTAAATATATAATTAATAACAAATGAAGCAAAGAATCTATAATTAAAGTAAAATACTGTTAAAAGAGTCGTGTTCAATATCGGAACGTGCGTGTTGCGTGCATTCCTTCTTGGTGGAAAGGGAGTCAAAGATTAGTTGGGTGACTTTTCGTCTATTTCGTTTATGAAAAATCGTATTTCGCACTTTTCGCAGAATCCAAGCTTCCTCGGTGGAAAATGCGATTCAAAGATGTTTTTAGTTTTAATTTTCGTCCGATTTGCATCAAACTTTTTTTTTAAAGCTGTACATAATAACTTAATGAATACGTGTTTCAGCGATTTGGGAAATTTCACCCGCAACAGGGGTAAATTGTCGGAAAACGGTTGTATGAAAGTATCTATTTGAAAGAATTTATTTTATACGTGCCACGGGCAAGACCGGGGAAGTATATAATAAATGTATGCTTTTGTAACAATTTGTAGATCTTTTTGAGACTTATTGTTTCTATAACTTTCTTCTCAGATATATAGATATATATTCTTTAAAGTTGTACAAAAACAATGTTGAGGGGACAAGATATACAAATCGCTACACAATACACCTATTTCTTTTTATATACATATTTAATTGAAAATAGGGTATACAACGGGTCGGTATGCAGCAAAGGTCGATTACACATTTCACATAATGAGCAAAGAATTACAATTATTGCCACAGTGGGCCGTTCGTAGCTGGCTAATACTTAATAATAACGGCATCAACTGTCAGCTGTGAGGCGAACAACGGACACGGGCAACAACACATTCAACAGCAGTAACAACAACAGTATAAACAATAACAACAAATGTACACAAATCACGATTGTAAGAAATCACCTTTTCGTTATTGTTGTTGTTTTTGTTGTTATTGTTACTGTTGCTATTGTTGTTTTGATTCCAACCAACACGCAAGAAGCACAAATGAAGCAAAATAAAAACAAATCAGAGTAAATGCTGCACAAGTTGCAACCTGTAGATACCCTATACAAAGCTCTGCTCGTACATGTTGTATATGCGGCAATAACTTCATCAATGTTAATTTATATAATTAAAAATTATAATATATGCTTCGAATAGATTATAAATCCTTATATGCATAATAAAGCCCAAGCTATATTCAAATTTGTGAGGTTAGAAAATCTGAAAAGCTGTTTTTAACGAAACATATTTTTTTTAAATTTATTTAAAGTCTAACTCATTAAAGCTTGTTTCTGATCTTTTATTGATCAATTTGAACTCGCAGATAAAGAGACATTACACAAATTACTTGACATTTAACATTACTTATTAATATCTTAAAAAACAACCCTATTCATTTTCACTTTTGTCTTTGCAAACATTAGTATACCCATTATGCGCGTTTAATGAGCACAGGGTATTATAAACGAAAACGAAAATCGACAAAGTAAAATTAACAATTACATAAAACCTTGGAGCTAGTCCATAATACATACTATACACAGCTTGGATTAACGGGCATGGGAACTGTCTTCGCCGTTTGATGGAATCAACGACGACCCGAGCCGAACTGAACCGAAGACCAACGGACGATCGAACAGGCATACTTGCCTAGTTGCTTGATTAACCTTCTTTTCAATACCCTGAGCCAATTGAAAATGGCTAAAAGTGTATACTGGTTTCATGCAGATGTATGCAACAGGTAGAAGGAAGCATCTAGATCTAGCCATGTCGCGTTGATATGGGAAAGTGTAAAAACTAAAGACTAGAAATTTAAAACATATATTATCTTACACCATGCGCCGAACGAGTTTATCATAATCTAAAATTATAATATCTAGATATATCCATTTAAGTTTATATGTTCTTGAATAGTGAATAAAGATTAAGAATAGTTCGCTTCTTATCACCCTCCCACAATCCTCCCAAAATTGGAAGAAGCAGAAAACCTATTTCTCAAGGGAAAGCTTTGCAATACACACTTTTGTGTAATTCGTATACATGCATATGAATCGGACGCAAGCTTTCCCATAGTGTGTAGCTGGAGGAGAAAGAACTTTGCAGCTAGCCGCGTGCGTGCTTAACTGAATAGAATATCATGACGGCAGCTTGGCGGGGGATTCAGGGTATCTCCTAATCGGTCACTTTTGACTGGAGCACTCTTGTTGCTAATTACAATATTTTTGTTTCTGTAGCGCGGGTTCAAGGAGCTCTGCATAGGAAACGAATACGCTGGCAATTACTGCAGTCAATGCGACAACCGACAACAACAACAACCAGAATGGGATGAAAATTGCATCGACATGAAAGGAACACTGACTTCCCAGCAGAACTGCGGTGCATGAAGAATATGCAGGTATCTGCACTCTTTCACAGTGAACACCTATTTACTCGTATGTTCTCTTAGAACGTGTCGTCTTGGGGTATTCGACGTTGCTTTTTAATTCGTTTGGGTTACATTTCGTATTCCTAATTACGAGATGAGTATGCAAAAGCATGAAAAGAGAAGGGACGTTTTCAGGCCATTGTTATTTATGACTTTTAGCAGAGTTCGCCGGCTTGTTCTCTGAGTCATGGGCCGCCAAGATACAATTTATTTTTTATAATAACTTGACTGCTACAAAGTTGGATTTTTTAATTTACCTATTCTTGTTCCCGTTATAAACTAAATGTAAATATGGTTACGAGACTTTTTTATATTATCTTCAAAGATATTAATCATTTTCGTAATTATGTAAACTTTTTGAAAAATATAAATATGACTTAATTTCTTTTCCGGTCGATCGCAGTCAACAATTTATTTGATGCTTTTTTATACTAAAAATGTTCGTTACAAACGTAAAAAATTAGTCATATTATTTTATAGCTTAAAAATGTTAAGTAACCTCCTTTATTTCTTTATTTCCCACTAAAACTAGCGGCTAGCAGAAAAATTTGAATTCTTTATTTGTGTGCTGTGTAGTAAAGAAAGCCCTGGCTAGGACGCAAAATATGGGAACGCGGGGAACACATTGGAGCCTATATCAAAGATTTACTTACAAAGAGGAAGAGAGGCTAAGTGAGCGAAAGAGAGAGAGAGAGCAGAAGGTCGCAAAGGCAAATTTGCATATGCCCTTGCTAACAGGAATTGTGAATTTGAGCTTAAGCTGAGCACAAAAGATCGTCGGAGCGAGGCAAAAGCTTCAAAATGCCAGAGAGGAACGATGGGAAAAAAGCAGGAAGACAACTTTCGCTGTTTATGTACAACTGGAGCTGTGTGTGTGTGTGTGTGTGTGCATTAGTGTGTGTGTGTACGTAAAAGATACCAACAGCAGCAACAGCAACAGCAACAAGAATCATGTTGAAGCAACTCAAAATGCAACAAAACGGGAGTAGGAGAGTCAAGTGAAGTGAAGTGGAGTACATAAGTAATTCGTTTTCGCTTCTTCTGGTTGTTTATGTTTTAAAAAGTGCACAAATAAACAAAAGATCAAAATAAATTCAAAAACAGACTTATACTAAATATAAAACAAGGGCTAGCGTTAGCGGGCAATGTGCGACTGGCAGGATACCCTGTACTTTCATACACATACATACGTCCCCCAAGGATGTTAGTTCTTTCGTCGTTTGTTCGAAAATACCCTCTAAAAGGCATTTAAAAGCCGCTAACTAGATCAAGATTAGCGCTAAACGAAGTCTTGGCCAGAAGAAGCCAATGAAAATTCACACTCACATGAACAGTGAGAAAGAGTGCAAGAGGGAGAGAATGAGCCGCACAATAATTTTTGGTAGCGCTTCCTCTTCCTCATGGGGCGCGCACGCATAAAATACACACGCACACATCCTAAACAAAAGAAGAGAATGTGAACGAAATGGAGATGATAATGATGATGGGTATGATGATTATGATGCTGAGATTCTTTGCTCCTACGTCGTCGCAGCAGCAGTTGGTGCTTCTTCTTATTCTTTGGTAACTATATATTTTGCTTAAACTTATTCTTTTTCAATGAAAAACTCAAGAGAAAGAAAAAAAAACATCAACAATATATAAAAAAATAAAACAAACCAAAAAATAAAGCGAGTTTATGTGCGTCTTCTCAATATGCAAACTTTGCAGAAGTTTGACATTTCATTTCTTTCACGTTGCAGCATTTGTTGTTGTTTCTGTTTGTTGTTGTTATTGCTGCGGTGACACTGGCGTCGGCATCAATGGCTGCGGCGACGACGACGATGAAGGCGGCCACACGAGCATTAATTGGCGGCGTCGCCTCCAACACTTTGGCAAAATTGTGGGGAAATGCTGCTGTTGTTGCTGGCTACTGCTGTTTCCCCTAACCACCCCAAACAACCATCACAATTTTTTCTTTACATATATTTAGACGCACTTTTTTTACTCGCCTTTTTTGCTACAGAAGCAAATTTCACACACGCACAACTTCGATTACGATTCACGCGGGCCGCATGCAGCACACTTGTTGTAATTGATGCATTCGATTTGTGTTATCACGAATGTGTGTATGTTTAAGCACAGTTAACTTATTTGTTTGCATTTGCAGTGTATAATACGAGCGTAAAAAAAAATAACAAATTATGATTCTTTTTTTGTCCGAAATTGCATCCGCTTGGTGAGCGAGCGCTTGAACGTATGAGTTAGGGATGGATAAAAATGTCGATAAGGCGATGGAGTCGATGCTTAAGACGGCGATACATATTTTCAAGCGATATGCGAACTCACATCGATATTTATTTCGAGATGAGCGCAAATGTATACAAACTGAAATTAATCGTCAGCATTTCTAACAACTGAGAGCATAACACATGAAATGGAAATTTTATTGTTTGTTTCAAATGAAAATCTGCTATATATCAAAATGGAGTGCAATTTAACAATAAAGCTTATTCACATTTGTGTTTTATTATAACAACTTATACATTGAGGACATTGTACATAACAATAGATTATCAATCAAGACCCCCAATAAATTAAAAGATAATGTTTTTAAAGATTTGTTTATGATATTGCACAATGTTTTGCTGTGATATAGTAAACATCCAAATATGTAACGATATAGTGTGTCGGTAATAAACTTTATAAAACGATACTATCGGTAACATCGATATATGTTCTGCAGGTCTCAACCACTAGCCAGACAGCGACAATCGAACAGTCCAAAAACGAAAAAATGAGTATTATTTGTTGAAAAAACTAAATAAACCAATCGCAGTGTAAGGTAACTACTCAAGTGCACTTTACTTAGCCCGGCTGCCAATGGTAACGTTAAGGTCAACGGCAAAAACCGCAGTTAGCCGTTTGGAAGATGTGCGCAGCAATTCATTGCTGGTTGATATAAGCAAAGCAGGCTGCAAAACAGAGCACAACAACAAAAAGTAAACGGCGCAATCCCAACGAAGTTTGGCAGCAGCAACTGCAACCGGAGCAGCAGTGTTGAATAGCAACAGCAGCAACAGCGAAGAGCTTTAACAGCAGCAGGTGATGGCCACCGCGTCGCCAGATGCACAGCTGGCTGCCAATGTGGACTTCAGCGAAATCACGCTCGGCGAGGTGAACGTTTGAACAATACTGGGTTAGCTCATATCGAATCTAATCTTTCTCTTCTTCCCCATAGAAAGTCGGTCATGGATCATACGGTGTTGTATGCAAGGCTATCTGGCGCAATCAGTTGGTGGCCGTCAAAGAGTTCTTTGCCAGCGCCGAACAGAAGGACATTGAGAAGGAGGTCAAACAGCTGTCGCGTGTTAAGCACCCCAACATTATTGCACTGCACGGCATCTCCTCGGCTCAGCAGGCCACATATCTGATCATGGAGTATGCCGAGGGCGGTTCCTTGCACAATTTTCTGCATGGCAAAGTGAAGCCCGCCTACAGCTTGGCGCATGCCATGAGCTGGGCACGCCAATGTGCGGAGGTAATCATCAATATTCATTCTAAATGTGTAAAAATTGAGTAAAATGTGCATTATTTTCTTCAGGGTGTTGCCTACCTGCATGGAATGGCACCCAAGCCGCTCATACATCGCGATCTTAAGCCACTCAACTTGCTGCTGACCAATAAGGGTCGCAATTTGAAGATTTGTGACTTTGGCACTGTCGCTGACAAGTCCACCATGATGACAAACAATCGCGGCAGCGCTGCTTGGATGGCGCCCGAGGTGAGTTGAACCCAAGTTCAATCGCAGCAAATGCAGTAGCTGCAGCTGTGTCCTGTTTTTTTTGTGAGCCAAGAGCTTAGCTCAAACTTTGATATATTAGTCTAGGGCTTCTACTTATAATTTCCTTAGATATGTACGTGATAGTCCTACGTCTGCAAATTGAAAACAAAACTAAAATTCATAATTTATTCTTTGTTTTAATATGTGGGTCCCACTAAAAAGCCACAATTTATGTACTGTCAGAACTGGGAGCTGTAACAGTAAAACGTGATGTAGAGACATTTTTCATCTGTGCCGTGAATATTCGAATTTTCTCCCAAATTGTATTCCCTTTTTTTGAGTTTTAATGCAATCAAATTAAAAATAACTTTTCTAAAATTTATATATAATATTTACTTCTGAATTATGTTCACAAGGCTTTCTAAAAGAGTGAATAATATGACAATTGATTTGCATTTCCAATACACAAAAATAATCATAAATAAATTATATTTTATTTAAAAGATCTGAAAACGTGCGTAAACTATCTCAGTAAAAGTATTCGCAAAGTAACACTTTTAAAAAAAGAAAATTAAATACCCAACACATATTGCCCTGCAGTTTACTTGATGAAAATGTTTTGTATTAAACTGTTCGTAATACTTCTCTTCAACAGGTGTTTGAGGGCTCCAAATACACGGAGAAGTGCGACATCTTTAGCTGGGCCATTGTGCTGTGGGAGGTGCTGTCACGGCAGCCCTTTAAGGATATTGACAATGCCTACACCATACAGTGGAAGATATACAAGGGTGGGAAGCGCTTGCTCAAGTTAATAATGCATTATATTAATTGTTATTGTTATTTTTACTGTTACAGGTGAGCGACCGCCACTGCTGGACAACTGTCCCAGGCACATTGAGCAACTAATGACAGCATGCTGGAAAACGGCGCCTGAGGATCGACCCTCAATGAACTATATTGTGGACGTAATGAATGAGATTATCAAAGACTATGTTGGCGCCGATAAGCCGCTAGAATACGCGTTTGTCAACCAACAGGTGAACACAATGAGAACTTACCTGAAACACAATGACTCCAATGATTCATTACAGATTGTGACCAAAGAGAGCGACGGCACGGTAGCCGCTCAATATGATGGCCAAAGTTACAGCTCCAGTGATATGAGCCTGGCGTCTACACAGCTGACGCCCACCAATGTGCAAGGCACTACGACTGAGATTGCAACTGGCACTGGCGGTGGTACCAGCTCCAGTAACAACGAATATACCTCATCAGAAAGAACGCCCACCAATTCGGGCCAACTTGACAATAATGGGCTGTTCCATATGAGCAGCAGCAATCGCTGGGATGCCATACCCGAGGAAGAAAGCGGCGAGAGCCAAAATGATAGTTTTAATTTAACATCATCCGCAGAGGCATCAAAGCGTTTGGAAACCATACGCAACGGCATGATGCAAATGGCCAACAGGGTAATGGAGCAACTCACACTGGATGTTGAGCCGGTACGCTTCTTATATATGCAAATATAAAAATGTATAAATTTATTTATTTTTCGCTTTCTGCTTGCAGAATGGTTTTGATTCTCATCGCAACGAGAGCAGCCGCAGCAGTTCGCATGGTGAGTTCCTGATTGCAACTATTGTCATCGTTGCTGTCGTCGTCTGGTTGTTTGTGCGAGTAAATCAGATGCACATTAACACACTCTTTTGGATGAACACGATTGAGGCATATAAATTGTTGTCGTTGTTGTTGCAAATAGCTTAGCGAGTCGTCAGCTTTGCATTCAGTTCAGAGTCTCGCTTGCCATGTGGTCTGGGGTCGATAGCATGACGCACCACCACCACCAGCAATAAGAGCAACAACAACACCCCATCACTTAATCTTTTGTAAACAATGCGTTTGCCATCTCGCTTTAACCGCAGTGTTTTCGTCCGTTTTAATTGCTCGATTTTTGTTTAATTAGTCGTTGCGTTGTTTTTATTATGCAAAAACACATTTTTGAAAACATTTTGCAATTGGCACTGTCTCAGGCGGCCAGCGTTATAAATATGCGATGCGCTCATGCATTAGCAAAATTGTCGACACCAAATGTTGCCACTGCAACAATGCGCTTGCCAATGAATACCCGCACTAAAGATAATACGACTGATAATCATAGTTTTGAATTGATGAATATACTGTCGACTACACTTTGCCTCTTGGCTGCGCTCTAAAAAGAAATGCGGCAATTGAATTATTTACAAAGTGACACAAATTTCAAACGGGTTATTCTTTAAAGTATTTGGATTATATAGAAATAGAAAAATATGGACGAATCATAGTATAAGACATCATTGCATTCATTACTCTAGTTTGGGTACTAGTTCCCAACGAATTGTTTATACCCTGTTCCAATGGAAAAGGGGTGCCTGTGTGTTTTGTTTTTATGATAGAGATTATTGAAAATGAGTTTGACCAATATTCAACTTTCGCCTCTACAACCTTAATTCATAAATTTTCACTAAGCAGGGTTGGATTCTCCGATGGATGAATTTTCACACAGATCGTTGGAATTTAGTTTGAGCATTTAAATTTATTATATATTCTATATTAATTAAATCCATTATAGAAACAACTATGTATGTTGAAATGTTGAAAGTCTGTTTAAAAAGCTATAGCTTAACACCTGAACAACACAATATGCCCAACCCGTACAGAGCATCGCTCATAGTTGCACATTGCGCACAATTATCGTAGTATTGTGTGGATTGGCTAGCTAGCTGGCTGACCGGCTGGCTGGCAATTTCGAGCAGATTTATAGCCATGAGATGCACCGTCACCACAATCGCCCCTTTCGCCGCCAAAGAAGTGCCAACAAAATATGAATTCAAATAAAACAAAAGCAAGAAAGAACGGCTCGCCGTAGTTAAAATACCCTTTTATACACTTGGCTCGCGGACTTGAAGAATTGCAGAGTTTAGTGAAAATATCTTGAAGAACAGTAAACTTCTCCATTCGATTGATGAGCTGTATTTCATTGAGCCAAGTTTGGTTGGCAAACACAAAAATTCTTTTAACCAGAACTTTATTTTTGACAAGTCGTACTATCTATATGATATAGTGGTCTGATTTTGGCAAGATTTGGCATAGATTTAGTGAGCATTTGTCAAGACATTCTGAACAAACAAAAAGCTATATGTTCGGTCCGGCTATACGTACTCCGAAAACTTTCAGATAGCTGATAGAGACGGACACGGGTAAATCGACTTGACGATCAAGAATATATGCACTTATAATGTCGTCTTCTAAGCGTTACACATTCCCTGACAAAATTATAATACCCTCCGATATTATGGCTGCGGCACACACAGATGACGAGGCTGACAGACTCGGGCGGCCAAATGCCTGCCCCACTGCCACAGCCTCCGCTGTTGCCCGCCTAGCCGCTCGCCCGCCCGCAACGGCCGTATTGAC